CACACATTTCCGTATTTGCTGAAATGGAACAGATACCAGCTGTTCTTTAGATTTCACGATTTAATACAATTCGAACACATCACAGTTATCAGGAGCCTCATGTTTTCATGGCGCCTCACTTGGGTTTTTTTTTTTTCCAAATGAATGTATCAGAATTGCTTATTTCAAACACTGCATCCATTGGGAAAAATTAAACTGCAGATACTGATTTGTTTAGGACAGGCATCTCTGGAGAGGCAGCTCTGACAGCTCCTGCGATGACAGTATGGGGGAGTGAGGCTCAAGAAATAACCACATTCGGAAATTGCAGAAAAGCAGAAAGATGCAAAAGAGATGAGTTTAAGGGTTGGGTTGGGGGTGGTTTTGTTTGGTTTTAGTTTTGTTTTGGGATTTTGGTTGGGTTTTTTTTGAGTTGCAATTTTTTAAAAAGGCTGAAGCAGTAAAAGAACACAGAAAAAAAAATAAGGTTTCTATTTTTTTCCTCCAATTAACAAAAAAAAAATTATAACAATAAACAGTATTCATAACTGCAATAGTGAATCCTAATAAAATACATGTTTCTCCTCCACTATTCCATCTTCCATACTGCTTAGAATGTAAAGTATCTATTGCCAGAAATTGAGATAAAGTGTAACCAGTATGTAGGCACAACCTTTACCTTCTTTTCTCTAAGTTTAACAACACTTAGGTCATGGAAGTGCTACTTTGAAAGGATTCTTTAATGTATCTTACTTTATGTATACATATACGTATATACAGACACACACTGTGCATAAGTGTATGTATTGTATTTTATACGCAATGTGTGGGTATGTGTGCATGTATGTGTGTGTATATATAAATAATGAGTCTTAGAAAACTCCCACCTATCAATTCAGTTCCCCACATGTGGAAGTTGATCAGACTAGTAACAACCTGTCAGCTTTAAATATTGGACTATTTGTTTCCCTGTGTCCAGTGCCTAAGATCTTGTTAATTACCTAAACTCTCTTTCTGTAGGTCTTGTTAATTACCCGTCTCCTGTCTCAGAGGACCTTGTTAATAACTTGTACAATCTCTCTAAAAAGGTCCTAATAACACGTTAAAATTAAAGATGTTTTTCTTTTAGCACTTGTCAAGTGGTGTAAATTGAGAAATTTGCACATCACATTATTAGCTGACTCTAGTGTATTTTCCTAAACACAAACAATTTCAGAGAGATGATGATGCGCAAGTTTGGATGTGGCACAAAAAACAATCTTTGTCTTCCAGGAGTAACCCTCAGTTTCTTTAACTGTGTTCAATGCAAAATCCACGTGGCTTCTGCCTGCAAATTAACCTCTTGAGAGCCATGACAATAGCAGCCATTGTAAGAATGAATGCAATTTAAGATAGTATTAGGCCAAAGTTTCAAAGGAGTGGATTAAGAAGTATGAAGACAGAACTATTATTGGTAAATGCTGGCTTAAAATACTAGACATATTGTGTGCTTAAGAATTCTTCATTGGCTTTATAATATAAATCCTCTGGAACGAGCAGATTTTGTAATATTTGCAAAAACAGCATTTCGTGTTTCACTGTGAGACTGCAGCATTTTTAAGTTGTCAAGAAATCAGCTCATAAATATCTATATTACACCTACACCAGACAATAAACCCCCCCGAATCTTAACACTTATGTAATACTGTAACACCGTATCTGTAAAACCCTTAAAAATACTCATTTATCCACTCAGCATTTGTAAGAGGTAACAAAATACCATCCCCATTTTACAAATCAGGAGCAGGGAAACTTAAGTGATTTAGCCAAAGCCACAGAACAAGCCTTTGCCAGAGCAGAGATTAATAGAAATTAGGGGTCCATATTTTGTGATTTCCTGACAACTAGTAGTATACACAAACCAGGCAGGTTTTGTTTTGCTTTCCCAAAATACTTCTTAAACCTTTTCGAAATAACAATAATAAATAATAGTAATAAAAATAAATAATAATTCTCAAATAACCCTGGGATACTTCTTGCTTTTAGGAGAAAAGAAATCCTGTAACTGTTGCTGAACCACTTCTACATTTTCTGTGTCAGCAGCTAAGAAATGTGGAAGATGCATCTATCTTCATTCTTTTATTTAGTAAATAAGAGTAATTAGTGACAGAGCCTGCATACAGCTAGCTAGTACTTAACGACTGGTTGGGTGAAGGGCTATTCTGCAACTCTCTTCTGTAACTCACCCAGTGATGCTGTTGTGAGCTCCTATCTTTCATGGCATTACTGCCTGGTCAATAACCACATTCAGTTAGGACGGACTTGATCCTGACTCAAAGCTCACCAAAGCCACTGAAAAGACTCCCATTAACTTTACAGAGACTGGTTCATTGATGCTAAGAACCTGACCTTCACACTGTCCACATGAAGGAAATGGTTTGGTCAGTTTTTGCCCACTAGAAGAAAAAGGTTGCTGTGGGGTTTTTAACTCCACTTTGCACTATCTGCAGCCTGGTCCCATGGACTGAATGTCCTTTTGTTGCTACAGGGTGCTCCTGGAATACATCTTCCAGCTGAGTTTCATCAGCTAGGAATACAGTTCATATGCCCCAGGACCGTTCCATCACTTAAACCAATGCTTAGCTAAGTGGAGTTAACTGGGAAATCCACGTGCAAAACAAACTCACAGCAGAACACTGATTGTGAATACACCTTGATAAAAAAAAAGATACTGCCTGGTTTAATTGCAGAAATGGTATCCATCCCAAATTGCTTAACAGCATGTTGAGTAAATAGAAAACAACTCAAAAGTCTGAAATCCCCGTGTATATTTCCTGCATACTGAATTTGTTACTGAACTTCATTCATTTTGTGCCTACAGATTTATACAACTCTTTCTTCACAGTATTTCTGGTTTGAAAAATTACAACTGGATTCTATTCAACAAATCCTTCACAGATAAAAGGTAAACTTAAACTGTAAACTTATTAAATATGCACATTTTGTATTAGTTTCTACTTCAAAAGGAAATCATTGTACAAGATACATTTGAAAGAAAGTGAACTTGTTCTAAGTTTCTGACAGAACATAATACAGGAGCACATTAAAATCGAGAGCTTCTAACTGAAATTATTACATGCTAGATATTATTCCATAACAGCTGTATTATAGAAAAGGTCAAAATGTTTACTTTTTTTTGCTTTTTGAAAACAACAGAATATCTGTTTGTCTTATCAAGAGTTTACATTTACATAAAAGTCAAGAAGTAGTAAAAGAGACTTAGACAAAGAGGGGGAACAACTGACTAGAGTCATTCTGAATGGGCACTGTGATGAGCTTTTTTAATTACAAAATAAAGAGAAAAAAGCCCATCATGATTACCATTAAAAACATATTTACACAGATCTGCTGCATTCAAGAGCTTCAAAAGATTTCACTACTTGTATCTAGCATCTGCCTGCATACATTTTTATATTGAAAAAAATAAATGCCATGTAATTTTAATTGTTATTTAAATGATTCTTCTGTAAAGAAGCTCATTCAAACAGAAGTTTAACTTCTGACAAACCAAGCTACATCCTAACCTTACTCTAATCTAGAGAAAACCTTTATGAAGTAAATAATATTCTCAGACTGTCTGTAAACACTTTATTTAAGACACCAGGAACTAACCTGACTCACAGAAGATGCTAAAAAGACAATTCGTTGGAGCCTGTATGAGCTTCTGGCAACTGAATTTTTTCTACAGGAGTTCCACTTCAGTTTATCTAATCCATACCCATTATTAGTTTTGTTGAGAAAATGATTGTAAGTTTAAATCAGGAGTGCATGCATTCTAACCTATGAATAAGACTGAACTGGGATACAGTAAGATCAATCTGTTCTAAAGTCTTAAAGAACAAGTTAAGAAGAAACACTTGTTTTAAAGAAAATACTATTGTGTCATTAATGATGGAACTAATAGACATGGAAAAGGCAAATTTGTTAGAATCATGTTTACCATTTAAAGCAGCAATTTATTCCACAACTTTCAAATTCCAGTTTGGAGCGTTTGAATTTTGAATTCAATTTCTACCAAATTTAAGCCATTAAATAGAAACGAATCATTACCTTAAAAAAAAAAAAAAAAAAAAAAAAAAAAACCCAACTGTTAATTTTTGGCGTTAATATACAGAAAAAAAATGCAAATGAATAAAAGTTAAATAATTAACTTAAACATTTATCTGTTGGGAACAGTATATTCGGGGTGTGTTTGTGTGTGTATATATATATATATGTGCATATATATAGGGAGAGACAATATATCTTCCCTGACTAGCAAACAAAAGCTCAAAAGGAAACTAACTATGGGATACAACTTTTTTTCCCCCAAGCAAAACAAGTAAACTGTTGGTAGACAAACAAAGATTAAAATAGATTATTTAAATGAAAGCTTATTAACAGCCCAGGTAACTTAATTCACTCTGTTTAACACATAAACTGCTGTCTTGCTGTCTTGTGCAATGACTTGAATACGCAGGAACTCAGCAAAGCTACAAGGAGCCAAATGAATTCAAGCATAATAAGTGCCCATGGGTGCACCCATTTTGTTTTCATTACTCACATTTTCTTCACCCTTTTGTTTATTCCGTTTCATCTTTCCCTTGAAACCTTTCCCTCTTAAAGACTGACTTAGGGCGCTGTAATAATTAGCAATGAGTTTCAGTGAAAACAGAAGTCTTTCAGGAAGGACAAACAAGGTCTTCCACAAACCTAAGTACCCAAGAACATTCACAGCATATATTAGTAATGTAAATGTAACTTCAAAATGAAGTAAGAAAAGATCCAACTATATATTAGTAATGTTAATTTATCCAACTATATATTAGTAATGTTAACTTCAAAATGAAGAAAAGATCCAACTACGTAAGTTCATAACTTTTACTTAGAAACAGATAAGCAGTAAGTGTTTCTAAAGCACTAAGATAGTGTTCCTTGACACTTCACATTTTCATTTATATAACATGTTCAAGATATCAGATCAAAATACAGCAAAAACCTACCTTGAAGATGGCAACATGCTTGTAGGCTTGAAGTTTGTCAGAAACGGATTAGTTGAATCATAATCAAAACTCTCCTGATGAGTTTCACCGAATGCACTAGGTGATTTCAAGTCCGTAGTACTGTCTGATCCCCCATTGCTCAGTTTATCTGACCTCCTGCTATCTTTTTTCCCAGTCACTCTTTCAAACAGACTAACTTTCTCTTTTTTCTCTTTTTTAATTTCTTTTCTGATGTCGACAGGTTTGGAAAACAGGTTTATGCTCTGATCCCATGTTGCTGGGCTTTCTTCAAACGGGTTCTTCTGTCTTGGCAGTGTAGCAAATTTTTGGGGTAACGAAGCACTTACATTGGTGAATGGGTCATTTTGCGCTTCAAGTGCAGTTTCATCAGCTGTGCTGCCAAGCTGATTCATTTTAGAAGTGTCAACACTTAATGTCCTTCTATGTGGAGATTTCAGGCTTCCTGCAAAAAAAATCTGTCATTAGCGTATTATCAATGAGACGCTACAATATAGCTTATGACATGCAGGGAACCCATTTTAGCTTAGGTCTAGAAACTTTGAAATTGATTATGGATAAACACTACAGCAATGTTTTGTTTCCTGTGTGAAAACTAAGTTCTAAAGGAAGATAGCTATGACTAGAGCGTGGCATTCCAGAAAGCAACAGCTGTCTGTTGCTGCACAGTAACTTTGACCAATGCAAAGTATTTTCACTTCTTTGTATAAATCAGGTTTAAAATTTCAGTGATAAACTTCTGAAATATATATTTTTGACAAGATGATATTTTGCCTAGAGTTCCCTCTAGAATGCAATGCTTCACTACAATATACTCTTAAGTGAGGAAATTAAGAAGAAAAATGCTAAATTACTATATATTATGACCACTTTGTTATCTTTTATGTTCAGAAAAATGCTAAATTACTATATATTATGACCACTTTGTTATCTTTTATGTTCAGAAACAGCAATTACGAGTTACCACTAACTAATGGAAGTGAAAATAAAAGGCTAGCAATAATACTTAACTTTCTGGCCTTGTAATTGCTTCATAAACTAAAGAAACAGACTTTTGAATGCTGTAATAGCAGTGGACTGTAATTACAATGGTCATGATACTTACCACCTTCATCAACCGAACCAAAAGACTCCAGCTGACGCCTAAAAAGATGAGAGTAGCCAACTGTGCTGGATTTCATTTTTTCTGAGACATGAGATCCTGTTAAATCTGACATTGAATGAGCTGAGGATAACCGCTGAGGTCCCAACAGGAAAGGTTTTTTTGGTTTTGATTTCATGTGTACTTCACCACTACACACCCCTACGCTTGCATGAGGTATGTGAGTACTTGGGATGATCGCAGAGGATGTGTCTGAAAATGTCCCATCATTTTTTCGACCTTTCATTTTGTCTTTCAGTTTAGCAAAAGGGGATTTGGTTTTGTCCTTCATTGACAAATCAAACATACTCGCTGTCATGTTATTCCTCATAAACTGAATATTGACTTTTATTTCTCCTCTGTCTTTAGTTCTCTTCCCTTGTCTGGACTCCAGATGAAACCACCTTAAAGGAGAGAAAGAGCAAGTTAAATTGTATTTTCTGGTTAGTTTATTAACATATCTGGCAAATATCACTGAAATTATGAAAATCAAATTCCATAGCAAAAATTAACACATCTCTGTACTGAAAACCTTTTTTGTCTATATTTGTTTTTGAAGAAAAAACTTGAATAACTAACCAAGCACGAAGCTCTTTCCAGAGTTCATCTGTTTTGAGAACCAAAACTAACTCTGTGGAAGCTTACTAAGCTTCACCAAAGCTAATGGGCTCACATCTGCTTATGAAGGAGAACTGCATCTCAGGTTAATTACAAATACATTTCATTTTGCTATTTAAAAGAACACTTGATATTTTTCAAGTGGCCTTTATTTAGCAGGGATGTATATTACCTGCATGTATACTGCATGGCAAATATTTCACATTTAGTAACCTTTTCTCCTCTGATTTTGCCTAGGTTTATACGCTAGGAAACATTTTTCCCCTCTGTCCCTTCCTTCTAAACACTGGTTAAGATTTATTTCAACTATACCAACACTAGCAATGAAATACCGGAGACTCCTGGACAGACAATTACCATTTTGGTTCAGCACCTGCAACCCCTGCTGATGTTGAGGTAACTTTACCAGCACCAGTGGCAGAACAGTGAGCACATAAGTGTTATCTAACAGCCATCCCTTCTTTTGCAAGTCATTAACGTCAGGCTTTGGAACCATGACAAAAAAAAAACCCACTTCTTGAAAAGAGATCAAAGGTATGATCATCTGTTTCAAAAAGGCAAGTGTGCTTCTTTGCCAGGTCCAACAAAGGCTTCATGATTATCCCAGTGTCTTATTCATTCCCTTTTGTGCTCCATTGTCCCATGGAAGCATCTGCAGAATTACGGCTCAATCCTCCTTCCACAGCTTCACCTACACGAATGACCAACAATCCCTTCTCCACACCCATCATCAAAAGCCTTTCTCTATTTCAAAAAAGGCACAGATCTGCCAGCTCCAAAGAACTGCTCTAAACCCAGTCAGGAGAAATTCATGAACTCAAACTAATGCAGCAGTGCACTATCATGATGAAGTAACTTTTGAACTGGAGACTAAGAAATGAAATTGCCTATCAGCACAGATGCAAAATTGATTATGCAGTTACACATACATTATTCAATACTGCCAAATATAGAAAACAAGGGCAGGAAAGGAGAAAAATAACCCTCAATTTCCTTTCAGATTTCATAAATATTTTTAAAGGTGACAGCTGAAATCAAATTTTCAGGCAGAGATACTATTTTCTGAGCTGAGAAAATACTTCTCCAAGTGACCCATCAAAGAAGTAACAAAACAATAAAGAGTATTATGACTTTTTTAATTGCTTTTGTGATGTTCAAATGAGGTTTTTTATCTAAAGCAGGTCACCTCTGTCCTCGCAGTGGCCATGAATCCAGACCAGTAGATCCAGAAGGTCAAATTGGTAGGAGGACAAACACTCAGGAAGAAAGCTTTTCTTCTGTTGTGAGGTAACTTCATTTATATATTTTAAGTTAAATATAAAACCTGAAATATGTTACATGTCTGAAGATAGATGGATTGCTTTTCTTTCTAGTTAATAATGTTTCCCTTCTTGGTAACTGATTCCAGAAACACTTTAAGTCATCTATAGAGTCATTACAGAAAACACATACAACAGAACCCAGGAGAAATCTTTTTTGTGATATATAATATATAATATCACAAAAACTGGAAGACAAGATAGCCTACTTTAACACTTTTCTTTGAAAGGAAATATGTTCATATATTTGCTATAAAAACAATACACAGCCATAATGAGCAAGCCCTTGCTCAGACAGATCTTGCCTGTGCAGGAAAAAAACCCCAAACCAAAACCCACCCTGAAAGTGAGAAAGTCCTCCCCATGATTCCTTAGACAGACATGAAACGTAAGCATAAATAAGGCTTATGAGTGTTTTAAGAGGCTTAACAGGCAGAGAGGAACTCACTGACATTCAAATTTAATGGCTCAGCCTACACTATGAGAAAACATATTCCCTTCCTCTCTCTTTACCTCCCCTTACAGGTGCCAAACATTAATACTGTATCTCTGATGAGACTGATGCATTTTAATATATTTCTATTTAGGAATTACAATAATTTAAATTGATGAATGACACTCACTAACTTGTTTTAGAACAATCTAGGGACATAAATTCTTAAGCCTTTGCTGTGTAGCAGAAAGCCTTTTCTTTTAAAACTTAATTTAATTCAATGATTGACATTCTTATCATGAATCAACAACCACTTTGTGACACTACCAGCACTTACCTGCTACTGGCATACCTCTGCATACTATTTTGACATCCACCAGGTCTGAAGGAGACAATTCCAGCACACAACTTATACAAGCCATTGCAGCTTGTACATTTGTTTTCAAAGCAGACTGTGATGAACTTGACACTAAAAGTAAGTTCAGCTGGGGAAACAAAGAAACTCTCCTTACCTAGAAGATAACAGAATGGCATAAGGGACTGGACCTCTTACCTGCTGGGACCAGGTTCAACACTACTACTGATTCCAAGAGAATTTAATCATAAACTCTTCACTCCAGCAAAATTCCTCTGGACTTCAGTGGAATTTCTATTTGAATAATGAGTGCTGGATCAAATCTTTGTATAAAAGACAGATATTTAATTTTCTTAGGCATTTCAAGGAGGTTTCTTTGTTACCTTGGAGAGTTTATCTTGTTTTAGTTATAATGAAGGTTCCATATGCTTCAGCTCATAACAAGACAATATGAGAAGCAGACTCAAATCACGATTTTCTTCAAATTCAAAGGCAAATAATTACTTTTTTAAAACAGATGAGAGCAAATGCAGGCAATGCATTTGTGTGGAGCTGCACGTGAATGAGCAACCGAGTCCGTAAATGGTTCTTATTAGAATCTGTTTCTACAACACATGGGAGTGAGCAACAAATAAGAAAAACAGCACTGTATGTAATAGAAAAAAAGAACTGGAAAATGAAGTCCACTGTTTTCCGATAACAACATTTGGGTCCTAAAATACTGAATTCCACCCTACCACTGCCAATTTAAAAAATTGTAATGTATTATAAAAGCCAATAAAACTTGCTATTTTGGTTTTGTTTACAGTACTTTTAGCCACAATAAATGCTCCATTTGTCAGGCTGCCACGAGCTTATTCTATAGAAAGCCTGTACAAAGTAGGAAAATAGCCAATAACATACACGAACAAAACAGGGTGGCTTTTATGAGAGCAGATGCCCTCTTATTTAATAACCAAATATTACATCCAGTCTTGCAGACAGTCTTTATTTAAACAGACCTTGTACAAAGTCTGGCAAATTTTCCCAACTTCAAAGGAAGCCCTATTGCCTCCTGAATGACACTGATACTTCTTGCTCTCACCTTCAAATGTTCTGTAGGACAACATCCTCCATACACCCTCTAATTTCAACTTTTACCCTATGGTTTCCATCAGAACAACCTTTGTTTCTTTTTCTCATCTGTTCTGAGTGAGCTAATGGGCTTTCCCTGTCTTGCACAGGTTCCTGATAATTCTTATTTTGTAAGTATTACATAAATTACCACTCTGTATGCTGATGTGTTTTTTGAACATGTAAAAGAAGATCAACATTCAAGGCTGAATAGGGAAAATCCTGCTGACCAGTCAGCCCTGAAAAACTAAACCCCTATCTGAAGAAACGTGGCTATTTTCCAACCAGAACAAAATTACTCCATTTTGGCCATACCTACAATCAGGGGTGGAAAAACCAAACTCCCTTATTTCTAAGAAAGACAATAACCATCTTCTGCACACTATTCAAGTAAACTGTGTAGTATTAGCACTTCTGAACCTTTTACCTTAGTAAAGACAGACAGAAAGAGTGAAAGTGAAAACTGAAAAAAGTTACTATAAATGAGTAAGTTACAAAATTCTGGCCTGCCTATTCCACCTACATAGCTAGCAATCTACAAACAGACTTACATTTTCATCACAATGTCTTCAACTATTCTTTTCCTCCTTCCGATTTCATTTTTTTGCCATTAACTTGGTTTTCCGACTCACCTTTGCTTATCTGTACTATTCTCACTGCACCCTTCATCCTGCATTCAACAGATATTTTGAAACCAGCATCTTGCTTCACTCGTAATAGAAAGAAACTGATGCTGGTGTGTCTTACCCTCCAAATCTACCATGCAATTTGAGAGTTCCAAGTCCTAGCCCTCTCTCTTCTTTGAAAAAGCATCACTCAACCTATTCTGCTTACTACGTAACAGTGAGCAGGATAGACTGACACTATGGGTAATAGTACGGGTAAGAAAAAACACTGTGTGATTTTAATGACATTTTAATTATGTACTTAACAGTCTCCAAAACCACTGGTATACTTGTCTACCAATTTCAACAGGAATTAGAAGTTTTCTGGCCTGCATATTCCACCTGGGCATGACAAATGTCCTTCTAACTCTTGTCTTCTTGCCAGTACTGAAGATGGAAAGTACTGAAGGAATCTTCTCCACTCATTTCGCTGCTTCTCAAATACACCACTCTGACTCTACCAGTAAATATCTATTGAGCTGATTTAACTTTACTTTGCTGAAATCATTAGATTGAACCCCAAAATTTTTGAAAAATCCTGATTTTAATTCACATATTGCCTAAGGAATTCTGCAAAAAGCCACAGTATCACCACAGCATTCACGAGGCTTCTAACCTTGATATTACAGGTTCAATTAGCATCCTAATCTGCTACGCAGTGACAAGGACAACTTTCCACACTAGCAGCTACTTCTAAAACCACCCCTATAAATGACCATCAAAATCCCAATGACAGAACCTGTCCTTCAGGTGTCATAGGAAAGACGTACTCCATCATTTTAGATTTCTACATTCAAGCTAGATACACGGAAGAAACTTGCTTCACAAAATCCCACTAACTTTGCATGTCCACAGCTAATGGCTAAAAAAGCAACATCCAAAGCCCAGAATTAACATTTTCATTAGCAGCAAAAGCACTGTGAAAAATGCATAAGTATGTTTTCTATAAATCATTCAAATACCCCACCAACAGACTGTCCCAGCCAGTCAGTAAGAAGGAAAATTATGGCAAGGGGCTGAGCACAGACTCCATCGTGTATGAGGGGAAATGAAGAAGAAAACAGATTCTTTATTAAATTAAGTGATGATATTCACCAAGATGAATACTATTACTTTCTGGAAGCCAACTGAAATGAGAGGTACAAAGAAGAGTTTAAAAATAAATACTACAGGGTGACATTGTGACACCAAAAAACATATGGGAACTGACACATATCATACCACCCTCACTAAGGGGTGAGCTAACATCAACTGGAATCAAAGTAATTAAAGTGATCTTAGTTTACTTATTATTTTGGCTAAAGACTGTGTGTGAATACTTTTATTTTAGAAACAAAATAACTGAAAGTATGAGAATTAAGGCCAGCTATTTCAGTTGAGTTTGTGTGCAAGCATGTGTGTGCACACAGAAAACGGAGAAGTATCTCAGTCCAGATGGCACTCAGACTCTGACTCAGAATTATGACTTATTCAGAGGATGTGCTTGCATTTGTTGTCGAAATGTAAATGTTGGGAATATTACTAGATAATTTGGAAATACAGCTATAACCCCGTAAAGCTACAACTGGGCGCAACTTTCTGTTCCCTGCTCAAGCCTCTTTGTCTTCTGTTCCTCACTACTAGCTTTCTTTCATTTGTTTTTAAATATACTGAGTGGTCCAAGAAAGCAACACCAGAAATACATATGGATCCTCCACACTGCTCATTATTTCTATGCCTTTAGCAAACTTCTCAGTTACCACTGTTCCCATTTTGACTAGAGCAGAATGATTTTTTTTCTCTCACTTTAACCCCAGCATTTTGATAATTTCTGTCACAGCCTTCCATTATCATTGAATTTTATCACCTACAATACGCTTTTCTGGTTTAAACTAAAGACTCAAAATGAGTAAATAATAGTCTTATGTTTTGTAGGATTATTTTTTTAAAAGGCACAATTTATTAACAAAGCCTGAGCCCACGACATACTACTTACTAGTTGTTTGCTTGTTCATAACTGAAGTTGTATTTGAAGCCACCCGTTGCTTTATGCTGCTACAGATGAGCGGACAGAGCAGAGGCAGTCGAAGGGGGATCTGTCCATACCCATGAGGAAGGGTGCCAATAAGGAATTCACATTAATTCTCATATGTTCCAGGAAGCTCAGCAGCACTAAAGAGTAAGTGCTTAAAAGACAGGGGTATTGATCATGGTCAACCATTAATTCTGTTTGTTTGTCTGTTTGCTCAGAAGCTGGCTTTGACTATTTATATGATCAATGTAAGCAGAGCAGTATCTTAGATAAGGCCAAGATTCCTTCACTGTAATATGCTCAAATAAGTATTTTTTACAGCACTGCTGGGGAAGGGGAGTGTTGTTGAGGCTTTACAGAAAACACAGAGAAGGGGAACTGAGGCACACATAAAGGATGTCTCCCCCAACAAAGTTTCTGTAAGAAATAAAAACTCTACCATCGCCTGCCTTCCTCACATTTATAACATTTCATGCAAGTGTTGCATCTTAAATCAGCTGAACATACAATAAAAGTAGCCTTCCAGGAAAGCTAATAATGCAATGGGCAATAAATAGAGTGGAATTAGAAAACAATAACGATGAAGCAAATGCTAGGGAAATTAAGTAACATCATAAGAAAAGTTAATGGAGATTTGCTCTTCTATTGCTGTTTCTTTAGCACACGGGAGAAAAAAAAAATAGTCTAAGCACATTCATTAAGAAAAACTACTGAAAAATACTCAAGATATGTCAATAAATATTTTTTATTCTATGATAATTCATAAATTTGTTTTGATGCAATGCACTGTCAGATCATCAGCAGTATTAAGGCAACTACAAATAACTGAATTAAAATTATTACAAAACTATATATATACAATACGTTGATCACCATTTGCATCAAAACTGCAAGAGCAAAAGAGCTACATTTATTCTGCAACAGCAGATGAAAAAAAAATACGTTCATGTATTTCTCAGGATGAGGTAAAAAACCCTGCACGATTTTCCTGTGAAATATTAAAACCATGTCAGAAATCTCAGATAATAAAGCAGTATCGCCCAAGCTTTTTGAACTGTAAAAAAAATCAGTAAAATCTCTCAGCATCTGGAGCCTACTTTTCAACTTGAGAAAAGAGCAGAAGTAAAAAGAGCCCGTCTATTTCCAACTACAGCAGAGATGAAGAGACCCAAATTTATAAGGCTAATACAGTGTGATGGGCATTTTTGCACCAAGATGGAAAGAAAATGAAATAGGATCCTGCAAATGCGTTGGCTGAAGTCTCTGGAAGAGACCTAGTAAGGGACCATCTGAGCCACATCTGGATCGAGCCGCTTCAGGAATTTTCACTTTTAAGAATTAAAAAAATCATCAGTTTCAAAAAGGAAAGAGAAAGGACATTGAGGGATGGTGAGTAGAAAAACTTCACTATCAAATTATAGTAAATACACTGCTTTGTTTCACTAAGTCTTGTGCCGGAGCAAGTTTAACAGAACACAAGACATGCAAATCCTATCACGAGGCCTCTGCCTGAAAACTTTACTGCAAAGTATTTTCCTTAAGATGCGAGGATCTACATAAGCTGTACAGAAAATAAGGATTACTTTTCCCTAACATAATGTTTCTGAGGCTGCAGTGAATTTTTAAATTCCTTTTAATTTCTAAAATATTAAATAATATATATCTATATGTACAAAGAGCTGAATGTCTCACAGCCCACGGTCTTCCTAGGAATTCAAAATCAGCTGGTAGCCTTCACTTCTCATACCTCCTCACTAAAAAAGCACTAGGGAATTGCTGACAGGGTTCAGCATTGTGCAGAATATTAAATATCTTTTTTGCAATACCCTGGTGACTCTTGAGCCTGTCTCTTACAGCACCATATGTACAGCTGTGTTGGAAAGAGGAAGCTATTAAATATATTAAAAAGTAGAAATATTACCAATAGACACTTCATCAAATAACTGGATCTCATTCATCCCCAAACAAAGCAAGAAATGTTAAGGTTACATCAACATAAGAAAATAACTCTGGATTTAATAACACCACAAGCCTGTTGAACATATTTGAAAGTAAAAACATTGCTTAATAAAACAGATTAGTGTTTCTGAAACAATGAATATAGCTTTCAACCATCAGAATGCTTTGGTAACAAAGACATTGGACTTGGTCTTGAAAGGCACTGCGTGTCTCAGTTCCCACACTACAGCCACGGCTAGGTCTTTGGGCCCAAATATATTACCCTGATTTTACTGGCAACAGGACTAGGAATATTTTGTATCAAAAAGGATTGAATAAAAGGTACAAAAAGAAGAGTGTTTTGTTTGAAATCACATTTGCAAATCTGTTCTTGAAAGTCTGCCCTCCTCCCACATGCACGGACAAATATCACATCCGCATCCCCAACTAATGCTTAAAGGAGACAGCAACAGCACACCCATGTTGCATGAAGACAAACACATAGACAACCAGGAGACCTTTTCCAAAACATCCAAACAGGTAAGGACTATGAATTATTTTTTCAAACTAGAGTTTCTAAAAGGAGATTTTCCAGGTTTCCAAGCACCTAAAGACCCTGACAAGGAAAGTGGTCTTTCAGAGGCTCCCATCTCATAAGCATTTGAGTCGACATTAATACTTAAGGAAGTATGTGCTGCAAAAA